CTAGTTCACCAAATTCAAATACCGCTACCGTTACTACAGTGGAAAGAAGTACAATCTGGTGTGAGGTAATAAACCCCCAAAAAGTAACTGTCACTGTCAAACATTTCTGCGGTGATCGCAGCAGTCTTATTAGCATGGGCGTACTTTTACATTCCTCTTGTTTGTAAATTCAACGCAATAAAACTGACAATTTGACAGTTCATTTTTAAATTTACACTTGTTTTCTCTCCCTTAAGTCGACACTGCTTGAGTTAACGGAGCCATCTCGTCAGACCCATGATATCCCGGTTCAGCCAGGACTGGTGGAAAGGCTAGCCTACCTTCCAGGTCGGGATAAGGAAACTACCGAGGAGAATGTCTGTACTTAGTACACAAGAGTCATCTGAGTTAAGTGCGATGCTACCCCTGCTTAAATAGGGTCTTTTGGCCAAGAGTATGTCAATCTTTGAGGAGGAAGTAGTTTCAGGTTGCTCCCAATCCATTTACTGTATGGACCTCATGCTAGGAAAAGATTAGAACTAGGTTCTCTCTTGAAAGAGGGAAGAAGATGCACAGAAGTGAAGGCGTTATCATGTGTGAGACATCTATCTAACCAATCCCTAGGTGGATTAACTAGAGAGGAGCGAAGTCTTGTGGAAGTGAATGGAGGTAAGATAAATTCCTTGGATTTGTATCCCATCTACTGAATGCAATGTGCTTCTTCTAACTATGTCATAAAATTTATGCCGACATTTTTACTAAGGCGAGCTCAAATAGCTCTAACATAATTTATTTTTGGCGCCTTTGATGTTTATGGTTTTAGCTCTGCTGTGGCCTCCGAATAAACACGGTTTTAGGGGGCGGTAGCTGAGAGAGCTCCATACTACCACCTTTTAGTGCCAACTTCGTGTTTTTCCCCCCAAGATGGTCAAACTGGTCATTTCATGTCAAGGCGCCACATTGATAGACAGGAAACACCCCGGAGGAGACAGGCTGGAATTCCTCTGGGCAGAAATCGCAGATGGTGGGGAATAGGGTATTCTCCTTATCAAAATCCTGCGGCTATACCATAAGGCCAAAGAATGTCCCTATGGTAACTGCAATTATCTTAATGCTGGTGCAGAACAATGAAGTCTATTTTTAACCACCCCCTTTTGTACTTCTGAAGCTCTGATTAAGTAAAATCTTGGACCTACTCGAGTTTCCATGTCTCTGGCCTTCACATCTGTGGGTTGTAGCAATTAAAGCCAATGTTTTCAAAGTCCGCTCCACCCAGCGGAACCCGCATGGAAGGGGGGATGAGAATTTGTACTTTGGGTAGTAGTACCTTCAGGTGTATGGACTTCTACAGGCAGTGAGTAATTGCTGAAGACACTGAATTAGAGGGATTAATGTTTTCCTCCGATGAGCCATTTTATGTCATGGTGACACATGCTCAGTGGTGATTTTCCTTTTCCTTAGAGGTGGTATAACGTCACGAGTCCTCCCAAAAGCTGTCTACAGGGGCGTGGCCTATGAGTGTCCATAGGGACTTTTCGGCCGCTCCGTCAAGACGGAAGTCCAACCTAGTATGGAGGGGCGAGCCTAGGCTGTTAAATATGCACATAAACAAACATCATCCACCCGGTTCTAGTCATTAAAAAAGGGGTTCAAAATAGCCACAAACTAAAATTAGCTTTATGAGTTTCATGTTTGCCATTTTTTCCTGGAACTACTATTTTGCTGCTCTGGACCTGTTAGTTTCCTAAAAGTTTTAAAATGCCCGATAAAATCCTCAGTAAATCCATGGTAATTCAGTAAGCCTTTTTTATGAAAAAATGATCTTTTTTGTTTTGGTATTTATCAGGGTTGGGAAAAAGCGATTTGATAAACATGCCACCCAAAGGCTCATAAATGGACTCGTAGGGTTAGGACTGCCTCACTGAGGTTTGATTTGATTCGGCAAATACATAAGGTAGTGCTGTTAAGGCCATTGTAACAGCCAAAGTCTCTCCTGAAGGTGAAAGGATGCAAAAAATATTAGAGCGGAATCTGAACTGCCGACGTATAGAAGGGCTGGGGCCTACTGGGATGGCTAGGGGGCCATTCCGCTTAACCGAAGTGAAAAAGCAGAGCCCCAACTGCTCCCAAAACCAAAGCATGGAGTTGGTTAAGTAAGTAAAATGGACAAAATGCGTTGTATTTAACTGGTAGGAAGGTGGAGGAAGTGTGTCGTCTATTCGCTCTATTGACAATGTAGACAGTTCTGTAAGGAAATATTCAAGAGGATTAACGGCTACTGTCGCTTCGGTTGTCAATACCCATACTAAAAACACTGAACTGGGGTAGATTCCAAAGGTCAAAGACATTTTCAGTTCTTTTGTTAAGAATCTTCAGATACTCTCCCTTCTGCAGCGCATGCCCTTCTTCCGTCATCCTAAGGTTTATCACTCAGTAGTAGGAAACAAGGTGGTTGTCCTTTGAGTTCGGGTTCGCCATTCACTGTCACCATTACCGACTTACGGAGGGACTGAGGACTACTAGAATGGCCCAAAGGGCAGACAAAGACCTGCAGAGGTACAATGGAAGAGAATTAAGTCCCGGAGAAATCAAAAAGTAGAGTTAAATAAGCAATCAAGGCATTATATCTCAACCTAGGTCTAAAGTAGAGATTCTTAACAGCCAGAATCAAGTCTTATAACACCACCCAGCCTTTTACTTACCCTCCTCCTCGGGCTCAACGCATTGCATCAAACGGGGGCGCATTTGCCTCACTTCTGTTGGATCACATGCCAGAAGTGTTGATGCCAGTAGTCTTGATAAATGCACTTTTGTTGCCTTCTTTTTGTTCTTTAGTGTGATATATGTAAAAGCATACTGACTTGTCTTTAGTTGGCTCTGCAACGGTGGTGTCACATGTGTCTCATGAGAGTTAAACCTCACAAGTAGTAGCTCTGAAAAACCTTACCCCAAATAGCGTAAATGTCACTCCTCGTCTAGAGAAAGGCCATGGCTTTACTACCTCTTTCCACAAATTCTCTACTTCTGAATTACTTTGCATTTAACAATTCATCAGAGGCATTCTCTGGTGGAAAAATCAAACTTTTATGAACCTTATCCTTCGACTTTT